GTCAGTGACATTCGGCTCTTTTAGAAGTCAAGGGATCCCTTTTTCCCAAATATTTTTATTTGAGAAGAAGCATACAAGTGTAAGCAATAGTACAGACTTCTTTGGGATGGAAATCATGCTTCCCTTTTCAAAGTCAAAGTCAACTTTAGTGTCAAGAATTCCACATGTGTTATACATACAGAACATTTGAAATACTGTTTCTCGCAGTCCCACAGTGTGACATATATAACAAGATACACAAAGGGCCTAGATAAAAGGGGTATAAAAACTAGTTAATGAGTAGTAATAAGTACTAGGTAATAAATATATTTAAAACAAAAAAACACAATCAACAGAAACATGAATGTGACATTAGTGCAAGTTTTCCTTAGAGCAAAACAAATGATGTTCTATAGGACAGTAACAGTGCAGTAGCAGCGGAGATGAGTAGAACAAGTGACTGGTGCTGGATCAGGGAAGGTTGTGTGTGTGTGTGGGTTTAAAGTCCAGGTCCATTTGGGGCAGGCGGGAGAGGTGGGAGGCAGGGTGGAGAGGTCAGGCGAGAGAAGGGAGAGATGTCAGATGGAGGGAGGGAGGGACAGAACAGCCAACAAGAAATAATAAAGAAATACTTATAGTCATAGTGGGAAAAAACATACAAAATAGTATATATACTACAAATAAATAAATACACTTAAAGGGTGCAAACGAGGGATCCCTTTTTGTACGGGATTCTTGAGAGTGAAACTATGTCAAAATGTTCCTCATTTTCGAGTCTGATGTCAACATGTACGCCTGCTCATTCATGGAGAAGCGCTGTTCCTCGGTTTGAACTTAGCAGGACCGCCGAGATCCTGCTTACATCTGGTCTGAATATTGTTCACTCATTTGTACCACTTTCTCTGCATGGTATTGGGGCAAAAAATAACCCGTTGTGCATTATTTATTGAAATCCGCCCCTTCAGCTCAGTTGACATTTCTTGTCTTCATTGTAAAATCTGACGGGGCATCCTGCAATCACTGAGGGTTTTTAGAGTCATTGTCATTCAGAGTACAAGTACTTAGACAGCACATGTTGAAATAGAGAAGCGATTGTTTAATTTCTTTTAAACTATTCAATAAATGTTTGCTGCTTGAAGATTCAGTTTCCTAAACTTAACAACAACGTTTTTGGCTTCATACACATTGGTTTTTAGCATTATTTGGTATATTTAATCTATTGGGATGCTTAAAAAAATATGAGTTTCTATCATATTAATTTATAAATTGGATGAAATATACAAACATTTTATTTCGATATTCCCATATTTTGTCTTTTCTTTAATCTAGTTACTGTATAGCGACGTGTATAGGCTATTGCAGTCTGTTCAACAATAGCATTTAATTTCAAAATGGTTAGTAATAAATTAATGTTGACACAACCAAAATCATGAATTGCACGGTCGCATTAAATCATTAGCTCCATGTGAAAGCTTATTTCAAGCTACTGCCTTACCGAGTTATGTTTGTTAAGAACCTAATTTATGAAGATGTCAGTTCATAATCATGGATATTTTGAGAGAGAGAGCTTTGGGGTGAAAAAGTCAAATTAGTTTTGCTAACACTTGCCTGTGGCTTTCTCTCCAGCTACAGTAGTTTCAGCGCTCGTGCGTGAGCTGTCTCTGTGGCGGAGTTCAATTAATGTCGTATGTTTGAAGGGTTTTTGTTGCCCTAGTTTGTAGCTACTTGCAACAAACATTTACTTTCTTGCTGTTTTTGTTCGATGTAGATGTTTCATATATTTAGTGCAATTATTTAAGGATTTGTATATGTTTTTATTTTGGGAACCTGGTGATTATGTATATTTTGGAGACAGGTAGTGGGGGGATTAGTGCACCAGATTGGGCAAACACAAGGAGGCAAAAAGGGCACGATAGGCAAAACCATTGTCATTGTACTGTTGGATATTTGATCATTGCCTAAACTACTTGCCTGGATATTGGTTAATTTCCCGCGTAAGATTTCTATCTAGTGCGTCAGTGGCAGTTGTCGTTTTATGATTTTGCCCCTACATTTGGTATAAACTAAATTAATGTATGTAGTTCTTACATTTAGGCATTCAAATATATGTCTTTATGACAATAGGCAGAAATGACTAATCTTTAAAAAAGGAAAGGAAAGCAAACTGAGGACACACTCGGGGTGTTTCTCAATGTCGAGGACGGTTGCTTGGTAGCACATGTCTTCCGAGTCACTTGCTTCAGAAGCGAGGCAAGAATCCTTCCTAGCCTCGGAAAACGAAGAATTGTGGAACAGGCTAACAGGTGTGCAGGTGTGCGTCGTATGCGAGGCCACGCCTTAAATGGAGCGCGATTTCCGCCAAAGATTTGGAAATTGGTCCGTACGCAAAGCATTGTGGGGATTTTAAGGCTGCGGAGTCTACACATGTGCAGCCTCGAAATTTCTCGCTTCGAAGTACGCCGGCCTCGGTAGGATTCCAAGTATCCTGGACATTGGAACAGTCCTTCGGCGGCACTCGATGACATAGTATGCTTGAAATAGTGGCTCTGGAGCAGCCTTCCTCGACATTGAGAAACACCCTCGGTCTTCAAGATAAGTCGAGAATCTTTGGCACAGATCTACAAAGTGAAATATTTTTCCCTGCGCTTTTGAACACCACTGAAGAACACGTTCATCTTATTATATCATCAAACGGGAGGACACTTCGCTTAAAATTAGGCTTTGTAAACAAGGAGCATGTGCTTTTCCTCACATAGTTTGGACCTAAGAAAACTAACTCTAGTAAGATCAGGGGTGTCCAAACTTTTTTCACCGAGGGCCACATACAGAAAAATATACGAAGGGCTGAGCCGCTCACTAGAGGTGAGGTATATCGCCTCATAAGTTCAGTTATAAGTTAGCAAAATCAATCAAATGTAGGTCGATGATGCTTGTGAGTATTGGCAGCTCATCCCTCAGATTGATTATAATAAGGAGAAATAGGAAGGGTGTCTTTCAAGCTTGTTATGGAAACAAGTCATTGGGCTTTTTTCTTATCAACTAGTTAGAAAATGTTTCCAGCTTTAATTGACAGAATTTATTTGAACAGTGGTCTTATTACCACATGAATACTACTGTGTAATATATTTATACATTTATAGTTAAGAAGTACAATACAAGACAAGCACAAGTTTCATTTGTGGGCCGTATGCCATTATACTTTTTTTATTTGCTCAGGGCCGATTCAAACTAGTAGTTTGGACACCCCTGAGTTAGACCCTTAAGGTGCGGCTTGAGTCCAAAAACGCTCCCATTGTCCCGGACAGGAACTCATAGAGGAAGCCTCACAAAGACCCTCACTTCCTTCCTGTGTGGGTGACAACAGGAAGTCGACAGGAAGTCAGCCGCCGTGCCAGATCAGTAGTATTGGCTCTCTATTGTCTGTCTGGGGACTTCTTTTAGCTACCGGACCACAGCTGAGCGCTCTGGGAGGCGATTATATGAAGCACAGTGTTTTTATAGAGATCATGGGTTTATATACACAGAGAGGTACAACGATATGTATTTAAAATGTGTTTTAAAATTCTATTTAAAGTGATTTGCCGATATTCCGACTGGATATTTGATTGTTTTGACTTTGTAGAACAACTTATTTTCCAAAAGGAAGTTTTTCTTGATTAAGAGAGGTCAACGTTTTAGGAATTAAACAGATTTGTTTTAACGTTAGCACTATATGAGGTTTCTCTGACACATATTAACATATTAAACCTTCTCATATTGATGATACTGTCCTGCCAACTTACAGAAAACCTTAAATATCCCACCAACATTTAAGCTTTTTCCTATTGTATACAAGCTTGATACTCTTACTGACAGTTTACACATTGTTTACTAAATTAGCCATAGCATTGACAGTATTTTACATGCCTTGTTGACATGCACCAAGCCGCATCAGTGTCCTTACTATCTGCTTTTTTTACGCAGATCTACCGTACATAAACCTTCAACTTTGGGATTTTAGCCTTTGCAGACCATTTACATGCACAACAACTTTATTATTGTATTGAGCCCTGAGAAAAGACCTGGCATGAATTGGAAACTTTTGATTAAAGGGCCATATTATGATCATGTTCCGGTTCATATCAGTATGTAGCGTCTCTACTTTAAAGAGTCCTCTCCTGCTGATGTTCAGGTGTATATCAGTATGTAGTGTCTCTACTTTAAAGAGTCCTCTCCTGCTGATGTTCAGGTGTATATCAGTATGTAGTGTCTCTACTTTAAAGAGTCCTCTCCTGCTGATGTTCAGGTGTATATCAGTATGTAGTGTCTCTACTTTAAAGAGTTCTCTCCTGCTGATGTTCCGGTTCATATCAGTATGTAGTGTCTCTACTTTAAAGAGTCCTCTCCTGCTGATGTTCAGGTGTATATCAGTATGTAGTGTCTCTACTTTAAAGAGTCCTCTCCTGCTGATGTTCAGGTGTATATCAGTATGTAGTGTCTCTACTTTAAAGAGTCCTCTCCTGCTGATGTTCAGGTGTATATCAGTATGTAGTGTCTCTACTTTAAAGAGTCCTCTCCTGCTGATGTTCAGGTGTATATCAGTATGTAGTGTCTCTACTTTAAAGAGTCCTCTCCTGCTGATGTTCAGGTGTATATCAGTATGTAGTGTCTCTACTTTAAAGAGTCCTCTCCTGCTGATGTTCAGGTGTATATCAGTATGTAGTGTCTCTACTTTAAAGAGTCCTCTTCTGCTGATGTTCAGGTGCATATCAGTATGTAGTGTCTCTACTTTAAAGAGTCCTCTCCTGCTGATGTTCAGGTGTATATCAGTATGTAGTGTCTCTACTTTAAAGAGTCCTCTCCTGCTGATGTTCAGGTGTATATCAGTATGTAGTGTCTCTACTTTAAAGAGTCCTCTCCTGCTGATGTTCAGGTGCATATCAGTATGTAGTGTCTCTACTTTAAAGAGTCCTCTCCTGCTGATGTTCAGGTGTATATCAGTATGTAGTGTCTCTACTTTAAAGAGTCCTCTCCTGCTGATG